GACCCCCCAGAGGCTGATCCCCTGGAACCTGAGCCCCTAGACCTCTCGGACCAGCACCTGGGGTGCTCTGGTTGTTCCTCACAGTTCTTTCGTTTCTCTGTTTTTTCCCTCAGGTCACAGTTACCTGGAGAGGCTCCTGAATGTCGAGGTGCCCCAGAAAGTCATGTGAGTTCAGTTCTGGGGCTTGATGACCTGCCCAGGGGTCAGCACCAGGGGTCCATCCTCAGCCCTGGCTGCTATAGGTTTCTCCCCTGGCTTTGGAGCAGAGGGCAGTGCTTGGGACAGGGAGCAGGATGACTTAGGCAGACCTGTTGGCTTAACTGGCCCAATGGAAAGTAGAGGAGCGGTTCACCTGGGCCTGAGAGGTGGCGGTGGAGCCAGGCTAGGGTGTGAGATGAGGCCAGACTCAGCAGCTCACCTCCTGGGTTTCCCAGACACCTAATGGCACCAGGGAGCCATTGGCTTTGGGCCTCGTGTTTCCTTCCTGCTTGGGGTCTGTGGGTTTAGGCTGAGGCCAGGTACCCGATATAGCCTCTCCTGGGTCCCTGCCCAGGGACTGGTGGAGGGGCTCCCTGAGAGGTCCCCACAATGCCTCCTGCTCTCTTTCAGCCCTGAGCAGAGGGAGCCCAGCAAGGAGAAGCCTCTGGCGGCTGCGGAGCTGGAGGTAAGGGAGGCAGGTCAGGGAGAGGACTCGGGGGAGGCTCCGGGGCCCGGCACCATGCCTGTCCTGGGCCTCGAGGCCCAGGGGAGACCCCTAGAGCCTTGGTTTTGCCCTCAGGTCCCCAAGAACAAAGAGAAGACCTCCTGGCCCCGTGATGCCACCAAGATCGCCGTTAGCACATCTGGCTCACAGCCTGCAGCCAGCGGCCAGGAGTCATCCTCGGAAAGGCAACATGGTGAGCCTTCCTGACCTGCCGCGTGCGGGTACCCGCAGTGGGCCTCGCAGCCTCAGCCAGAACTCCTTCCTGGGGCCGGGGAAGCCCTGTTTTCTGGGCCTGCAGATATGAAAGCCGTACGTCCATCTCCTTTGAGTCTCTTGGTTTCATCTCCTCCTCCCTTTCGTGGGAGCTGCTGCTGCGTGTCATGTGAGCGGCCCCAGCGGGTAGAGGCAGTAGCTGGAATTGGGGCATTGACTGTAAATGGGCCAGGTTAGAGCCTTGGGCCGCATGCTGAGGGGCAGCAGGCGGAACCACGGCCTGGGGCTCAGACATCAGGCCTCCGTGTCTGTGTTTGCCTCAGTGCCCTTTGACTCTTGGAGGGCCTCCCCTCTAAAGACAGCAAGGAGAGTGTGCCCCTGTGCTGGGCAGGAGCACTGTGGGCTCTAGGGGCTGGTCTCGGGCCAGCTGCACAGCCCCTGGCGTTGCTGCAAGGGCCCTTTGTAGTGAAGAGTGAAGAAGGGCCGAGGGAAGCGATTTTTCCAGGGGGTGCTCCGTCCTAGCATGAAACAGAACAGACTCCTCTCACCCCTCCCCTCCTGTGACGTCAGCACCAGCCGAGAGGGCCTGTGGTGCAGTTCAGAGGCACCCTGTTAGCACTTGCAGCTTCGGGACTACTTCTGCCCCTGAAATAGGCCACACACAGCTCTCAGTGTTTGGGGGACGGGGCAGAGCCAGGCCTGGGGGTGAAGTGAGGGGTGGAGTGCTGGGCCTGGACACCCACAGATCTCTCGAGGCCAGTTGGTGCCGAGGCTCACGCTTTTGCCACTGGCCACCTGGGATCTGCTGGGAGGAGAGCCTCACCCCATTACAGCTGCTGCTGGTGGGTCCCTTCCACGGCCTCTGCACCCACCCTGGACCCACTGCCGCCTTCCCTGCAGCCTCCCTGGAATTGCTTTCTTTACAGAGCCCAAGACTGACCGGACTGACGGGCCCAAGGAGCCACCCCAGAGTGTCAGGTTTGCACGGGGAGAGGGGAGTGCAGGCGACTGTGTTTCCACGGCTCACATGGCTGTGAACCTCAGGGAGGACAGCTGTTTGGCCAGGGCCCTCCAGGACCTCAGCTGGGGCAGGCCTGGGGCTCTGACGTCACAAAGCAGGCGGCCAGTACTGCAGAGTGCTGGCTGGGAGTGGGGTGACCGGCTCGTGGGCCCTGCCCTTCTGTGTTCTGCCTATGTGACCCTGGGCTAGCCACTTCCCTTCTGATGGGACAGAGGACCAGTCAGGGACACCTCGCCCCTGGAGTCCTAGGGCTGGGCCCAGTTCTGTTCGTGGGTGACCTTGTTGGCAAGTGGCTGGGGCTCCTGGAAAGGCTGCCTGTGACGCTGCCGCCACCCATGCCCTGGCAGGAGGAAACGCAGCTACAAGCAGGCAGTGAGTGAGCTGGACGAGGAGCGGCCCCTGGAGGATGAGGAGCTGCAGCCCCCCAGGAGCAAGACGCCCTCCCCACCCTGTCCAGCCAGCAAGGTGGGCCGCTGCCCACTTCCCTTAGAGCCCGGGCCTGGCCCATCAAGCCCTGACCTCTCCCTGCCAAGTCCTGACCCTGGCCCGCCAAACCCTGACCCTGGCCTGCCGAACCCTGACCCTGGCCCACTAAGGCCTAACCCCAGCTCACTGAGCCCTGACCCTGACCTGCCGAGCCCTGACTCTGGCCTGCTGAACCCTAACCCTGGCCGACCAAGGCCTAACCCCAGCTCACTGAGCCCTGACCCTCACTTGCTGAGCCCTGACCCAATCCCACCGAGCTCTAATGCCATCTCACCAAGCACTGACCCTGGCTCACCAAGGCCTAATGCCAGCTTGCTGAGCCCTGACCCTAGCTTGCTGAGCCCTGACCCTGACTCGCGGAGCCCTGACCCTGGGCTGCCTAGCCCTGATGCTAGCCCACCAAGGCCTGACCCTGACCTGCTGAGCCCTGACCCTGGCCCACCAAGGCCTAACACCAACTCACTGAGCCCTGACCCTAGCCCGCTGAGCCCTGACCCCGGCCTGCTGAGCTCTGACCCTGGCTCACTGAGCCCTGACCCTGGCCTACCGAGCCCTGACCCTGGCCCACCAAGGCCTAACCCCAGCTCACTGAGCCCTGACCCTGACTTGCCGAGCCCTGACCCCATCCCACCGAGCTCTAACACCATCTCACCAAGCCCTGACCCTGGCTCACCAAGGCCTAATGCCAGCTCGCTGAGCCCTGACCCCAGCTCGCTGAGCCCTGACCCCGACTCGCGGAGCCCTGACCCTGGGCTGCCTAGCCCTGATGCTAGCCCACCAAGGCCTGACCCCGACCCACTGAGCCCTGACCCTGGCCCCGTGTGCAGGTGGTACGGCCTCTGCGGACCTTCCTACACACTGTGCAGAAGAACCAGATGCTCATGACCCCGACCTCCACATCCCGCAGCAGCGTCATGAAGTCCTTCATCAAACGGAACACTCCCCTGCGCGTCGATCCCAAGGTAAGGGAGCCTGGGCCGCAGACCGGGCCTTGTTCAAGCTGGTGCGGCGTGGTTGAAGTCTCCAGCCAGGCCTCCGGGTCTGGGCCTGTGCACAGTGGGCGTGGCCTGGCACTGCTCAAGAGCCCGCTTGAGCCTCTGTGGCCGTGGGCTGTGTGACGTTTAGGGATGTTGTCCTGACCTGTGGGCCCTGGACTGCAACCTGCAGGCATGGCCGGCTCAGTGTTACTCTGGGTCTTGAGCCCTGGTGTGAAAGTTGCAGAATTGATCTGGCGGGCTGTTGGCATAGCCCACCTCACCCACACCCTGGCGGTTTGTGTGGTTAAAGGGGCACACGTGAGCATGCCCGCTCTGGGAGCTGAGGGTTGGGTGAGATGAGGCAGCGAGGTGCCTCCTGGGGTGCCCTGCAGGCCCCGAGCAGACTCGCTGGTGCAGCCAGACCAAGGCTGCTTCCCAGGGCACGCCCCAGCCCAGTACTAACTGTTGGCTTTTTCCTTGTCTTTCTCTACAGTGCAGCTTTGTCGTAAGTAAAGCCCTCTCCTGTCCTTGTAACATAGCTTCACCTAGCACTTAACCACTGTGGCTTTCCCTTCATAACTGGTGCCACCTGTAGAGACGCTAACACTGTGGGCGGTGGTGCTTAGAGGAGCCACGGGAGATGGGAGGTCCTAGAGGCACTGGGGCTGGCTGAGGTACCCAGGTCGTCTGGAGCTGGCATCCTCTGCAGAGCCTGCTCTCTCTGACCCTGACCCTGCTCCCAGGCGGATGGGTCCTGAAGCCTCTCTGAGGTGGGAGGAAGCAGATGGGGCTGTGACCTGCAGGTGCTCACCAGGGCCACCGCTTCAAGTGTTCTTCTGCACAGCCACCAGCACCTGGCTTCCTCTCGGGGTCTGTGGGACTGTGAAGAGAACAGAGTTGCTTCTGGTCCCCGGAGCCACAAACCCGAGTCACAAACCCGAGCCTGCCCTGAAGGGGCAGAGTGACAGGGTCACGGGAGGTCTGGGTCTGAGGTTGGAAGTGGGGTCTTGCCGGTGACAGTGTAACTGTCAGCTGTGGCCTCCGGGAACCAGGCCACTGTCCTCTTCTCAGATGCTTCAGAGCTGAGTTGTGCCAGCTGCCGGCCACGAGCAAGGAGCCTCAGGGAGCTGGGGCCTGCGTGGCTTGCACTCCTGGCTCCCGGGGGTCTCCCAGGCTAGTTGCCAAGGCTGCAGCCCGTCCATCCCTTCAGCTCCCACAGACTCTTTGAAGGGACTCCCACCTGGATGCACAGGGATGCCCTGTGTAGACAGGAGGGCTTCTGCCTCCAGCCAGGGCCGAGCAGCACTGTCTTGGGGCTGGGTGGGCAGGCTGGGCTCCCATCAGCTGGTCAGATAGTACCTGACCTTGCCGGGGGCTTCTGTCCTTTGGGCAGCTGAGGTGGTGGTGGTATGCCCTGTAATGTACCAGCAAATGGGCCACGTGGTCCTATGGCACCTTCTTTTGTACCGTGTCCCTGCTCAGCCCTCCAGGGCCATGGCACTGAGCAAAACTCATGCTCACTCTTCCTGGGAGAAGAAGTCCAACCGTGGCCCCACTCAGCCAACCAGAGCCCTGCAGCCTCATGGTGATGAGCGAGAGATCCAGGAAGCTGCACTGTCCCCTCTGGGGAGCCAGGCTCCCCAGAGGGGACGTCTTGTAGTGTGGAGCAGGCCTCAGATAGGACACTAGGAGCCTTGGAAGGATACAGGGGTTAACACCCTAGTCCAAATCCCAGTCCCTGCCTTGGAGCTGTGGCCAATTTCTCAACCTTTGGGCCTAAGTTTCCTCGGCTTCAACACGAGGAACAAATGGCTACTTTGTGGAGGTTTTAGGAGCCAGAGAGTAGTGTGTGCCCAGCACCTCGGGCAGAGCCCGGTGTGAGGTGACCATTCCACAGGGGGGTGAGAGGAACTGCTGCAGTGAGGCCTCTGAAGGCAGAAGGGGCTGCACCGTTTGGGTCTTGAGGGGGGTCCGTGGGGAGCAGGGACTGCCCAGCGGCTATCGAGGGCTGACAGGAGAAGCAGGCCTCCAGAGAACCAGTGGCTCTCACACGCCAGGTTCTTCTCCACCGTTCAGAAGGCAGCGCGCTTCGTTCTCTGACCTGTGTTGAGATACCGTGACGCTCAAGCTTTGGCACGGAGGCCAGTACTGCTGAGCGTGGTCAGGAGTGGGAGTTCTAGTCGGCTCTCGGGGTACAGAAGCGGGGGGAGCACTGGGCCTTCGCTTTCAAGGCTTTATCCTCGTAGGAGAGCGGGTGGGCGCAGCGTGGCGGGGAGAGCAGGGTGGAGGCTCCCATCTCACTGCTGTTCCTCCCTGGGTCTTGGTGTCTTGGCCACTCTGGGCAGTTGGGGAGCAAGGTGCTGCTGAAGCCGCCTGCTCCTGCTCACGTGGGTCCCCTCCCCAAGGCCAGTGTCCTCCAGGCCTTCCTGCACCCCACTCGGCTTCTCTGGCACATGCGTGTCTCTGTTCCTTTCCATCCTCCCCATCTTTCAGAATTTCTGTTAAAAACAGGTATCATACATCAAATCGACTTTTTTGGTTGCAGCTCTGTGGAGTTGAGTGCACGCGTAGGTTTTCATAACCACCGTCGCTATTAGGATACAGGACACAACTCCCTTCCTGCCTTGATCATCATAGCCTTTCTCAGCCACTAACCCCTAACCCCTAGCAACCACTGATCTTTGTTCATCATGAGAGTTTTGTCTCTTACAGAATGACTTGTGGATGGAGTCACACAATAGCCAAGCTCTTGAGGTTAGCGTCTTTCACTCAGCATGTTGGTAGAGGCCGTAGCGTAGAGGTTCCAGCTCATAGCAACCTTATGGGCAGCAGAACGAAACGCTGCCCAGTCGTGCGCCACAATCAGTGCTATTCTTGAGCCCATCGTTGTAGCCCGTGTCAGTCCGCCTCGTTGAGGGTCTTCTTCCTTTTGCTGACCTTCTGCTTCGTAAGCATGATGACCTTCTCCAGGGATTGGTCACCTTCTGAGGCTGGAGGTGGGGTCTTGCCAGTGACTGTGTAGCTGTCAGTGGTGGCTTCTGGGAACGGGCCACTGTTCTCAGATACCTGAGAGCTGAGCTGTGGCAGCCGCCAGCCACGAGCAAGGTGCTGCAGGGAGCTGGGCCTGCATAGCCTGCACTCCTGGCTCCCTGGGGTCTCCTGGGCTAGTTGCTGAGGCTGCAGCCCGTCCGTCCCTTCAGCTCCCATGCATGCTTTAGAGGGACTCCTGCATTGACTGAAGTGTGAGAGATGCAGTCTGGCCATTCTCGCTTCTAAGGAGCATTCTGGATGAACTTCCTGTAAGACAATTTGTTTGTTCCTCTAGCAGTCCACGGTGTATTCAGTATTCTGTGCCAGCACTACAGTTCACACGTGCCAGCTCTTCTGTGGTCTTCCTTATTCTCTGTCCACCTCTCACATGGGTATGAGGCAGTTGAAAATACCATGGCTTGGGTCAGGTGCACTTTACTCTTCAAAGTGACATCTTTGCTTTCAGACGCTTACTTAAAGACATCTTTTGCAGCACATTTGCTTAAAGCAGTATGTCATTTCATTTCTTGACTGCTACTTCCATGGGGGTTGACTGTGGATCCCAGTATAATGGCTTCGAATCCACCCAGATCATATTGGAAGTCAGTTTCTGGTAGGCAGTGTATAGTTGGGTTAGGTTTTCTTGTTTTTTCATTCTAGCAATGGTTTTAATTTGTGTTTTTACATATCATGTTAAGTTTGGATTCAGATCTCCCAATTTATTATTTGTTGTCTCCAGTTAGCCCCCGGGTTATGAACAAGATCCATTCCTACCTGTGTCTGTAAGTCTTTAAGTGGAATTTGTAGGTGAGTCGGGACAGGTGTGTACACAGTAGGTTAGCTTATGTTAGTGCAAGAAGAGCCCTGGTGGTGGAGTCTTTAAACACTCGGCTGCTGACCCACAGGCCACGCTGCAGGAGAAAGATGTGGCCGCCTGCTTCCATGAAGGTGACAGTCTTGGAACCCTGTGGGGGTCCTGTCCTATAGCATTGCTATGAGTCAGAATTGACTTGGTGGCAGTGGGTTTGGTTTGTTTGTTTTTTTTGGGGGGGGTTATTGCCAGAAAAGGCTTCATCCCTTTTCTGTGATTTCAAACCCGCACTTGAAGCAGATGAAGGTGTTTAGGATGAAGAATTTGTTGCAATTATAGGTTGGTTCAGTCGTTTCAAAGTGGCAGGTTTATGTAACATTAAAGAGCAAGCAGGAGTTCGTCCCTAAGTCTGACGTTCATAACCTGGGGACTGTAGATGTTTTCTTTGTTTTTTCTTCTGTTTCCCCTCCCTTGCCTTTTTTGGGGTTATTGGAGCACATGTTGGTCATTTACTGTGATCTGATTCTTCTGTCTAGCTGAGTTTGTTGTGGTGCTCAGGGCATTACGTGCTGTCAGAGCCCATGTCGAGTCAGGATCTTATCTGTTGGGTTGGAACCTAGAACCCTTGCCCCACTTAGGGCCCTTGTCTCTCCCACTCTGCACCCCACGCCCCACACCCCATATGCTATAGTGGTCTCATAGAGTGGATCTGTGTACACTGACTGTCCCATCAGACAATGTTATAACTTTTGTTTTCAACTATCAAACACTTTGAAGAAGTGAAGGGGGAATTAGTATTTCCCAGGTAGCTACCACTTCTGTCACTCTTACTTCACTCCTGAGTCCCACATTTCCTCCTGGTGCTAGTACCCTGCCATCTGGAGTACACCCTTCAGCATTTCTTTCAGAACAGGTTTGCTGGCAACAGATTCTCTAGTTTTCCTCCATCTGAGAATGTCTATTTCACCTTCTCTGAAGGGTATTTTCACTGGCTATTGAGTTCCGTGTCGACAATCCTTTTCTATCAGAACCTTAAAAACGTGTGCCACTCCTTCAGATAAGGTCCAGGCCACATATTCAACTTGCCTCCTGTGGAGTGTGGCTCCAGTGTTAGTTCTGATTCCCGTGTTTTTGCAGGGATGTTTGGCTCTGTCCTGGATGTGCCCCCAGCAGGGCTTAGGTTGACACCTGGAAGTGTCCTGTTTGGTCCTCACAGTCTTTGGTGTGATAATTAGGGTTCGATCTGTGCATCTGCAGTTTGGGGGTGTCAGTTCTGTAGTGCTGCTGTAACAGAAATACCATAAATGGGCGGCTCCGACAAACACATTTATTCTCTGACAGTGGAGGAGGCTGGAAGCCCGCACTGAGGGCGTTGGCTCCGGGGAAGGCCCTGTCTCTTCTGAGCTTCTGCTCCTGGGCTGCCTTTCTGTGTTGGCATCTTCTTCCCCTATCTCTGCTTCTCTTTCTGCCTAATCTACTCTTTTGATGTTGCAAAACAGATTGACTCAAGACTCACCCTACTTATACCGTCTCATTAATACCAGAACAACCCTATTCCCAAATGGAATTACAGCCACAGGGGTAGAAGGATTTACAGCCTGTTTTTTTGGGGGGTGTCACAATTCAGCCCATAATGGGTCAGCCCAGGAGTTTGTAAACAGTCTCAGGCTGGGGTCTCCCTGATCTCTCGTGCTCTCCCCGATCTCTCCAGCACTTCCAGTTCTCTGGGCTCCCCGTTTCTGTCCTGCAGCTTGGGCCCCAGGACTCCAGTTACCCCTGTGCTGATGCTTCCACGTCTGTCTTCAGGGACGAGCAGTGGGGAGACAGAAAGGAAAAAGCAATGGGGTCTGGCCCCGACTTCCTAGGTTGGATAGGAAGGTTCTCCCCTGCCATAGAGCTCTGAGGCTTGCGAGTCCCTCCACCTTCTGCTGCCGCCATCGCCACAAGGCTGCCTGGGTTGGGGTGGGAGAGAAAGGAGAAGGGAGGAAAAACAACAGAGATGGCATTTCACGCTCTGTCAGAAGCATCCATTTTCCTCCTCGAGCCGGAGCGTGAGAGCGTTTCCTGAGTCCCGCCTGCCCCTCTCCGGGTTTCGGGCTGCGTCCAGTCTGGTCTTCTTCCCAACTCTGCCTGCTGCACTTCGCTTGTCCAAGGCCCCCAGACGGTGGCTGCGTGTGTTCTGTCCAGGCTGTGTAACCTCTTTCTGTGGGCGAGAGAGTGTGGACTGCTCACCCCCTTAACTGATATCAGAACTCCTTCTCTCCATCTCCCGGGGGATGCGATTGCCCCCTAAAAATCTAGGGGAGGTACACAGCTACCATTGTGGGCAGGGCAGGGCCTGGGGGATCCGAGCAGAGCCAGATGGGGCAGGGGAGGGCTCCAACCTGGGCCCTAGCTTCCTGGCCCTTCGGGTGTAAAACACCAATCTTGTCCTGGGCCAGAATGGCCTGGAGCCCGCACCTGTCCCTGCAGGTTGCCCGGCGCTGTGGCCGTGCCACTGGACCTGTCTGGGCCTGGTCCCAGCATCGGTCTGCTGGACAGCCCACTAGGACTTCAAGTTCTTTTTCAATTTGCTAAAGTAGCACAACCATCCGACAGGCAGTTTGGAAAACAAAAGGGAAAAGTCCCACCCCAGTCTCTCACTGCTCTGTAGCAACCTCTCTGAGCAGTTGGCTGTGTTTTCTCTTACTCTCCTTTTCTTTCAACTACTATGATTGACAGACAAAAGAAACCATGTCCGTGTGTGTACAGACACACGCGCTAGGCAGCGTAATAGCAAGAAGTTATTCCTGGGTGTCCACCACCCCTTAAGCAGAACCGTCATCATACTTGAAAAGCAGCCTTTCTCCACCTCACTCCTGGAGTTTTGGCATCGTTGTCTGCGGAGCTCTGGCCTGTGTGCTGCCCCGGGGCTTGGCACCCTTCAGCCCAGGGCACTTGTGACTCAGGCCCTTGGGAGGCCTTTGGGGCCCCTGGGCAGGAAAGGCTGAGGCCCCAGGGCTTGGTCTGGGTGCGGGTGGAGGCCATGTTTAGGAGGCAGTGCTGCTTCCTCTAAGCGGGACAGCGTGGGGACGGAAGACCCTGCCGCCACCCATCTGGCTGGGGGACGCTGGGCAGCCCCGCGGGTCGGGAGGGTGTCCTGGTCCAGCTCTGGCTGCGCGCTCACGCCCCGCCCTCCCCAGGAGAAGGAGCGGCAGCGCCTGGAGAACCTGCGGCGGAAGGAGGAGGCAGAGCAGCTCCGCAGACAGAAGGTGGAGGAGGACAAGCGGCGGCGGCTGGAGGAGGTGAAGCTGTAAGTGCCCGGCCCCGCCCACGCGCTGCCCGGCCCGTGCCGGCGCCCTGTGACGCCCTGTGCCCGCCCCCTGCCCGCAGAAAGCGCGAGGAGCGCCTCCGCAAGGTGCTGCAGGCCCGGGAGCGGGTGGAGCAGCTGAAGGAGGAGAAGAAGAAGCAGATTGAGCAGAAGTTTGCTCAGATCGACGAGAAGACTGAGAAGGTACGTGGCTTGGGCCGACGGGCGGTGATGTCAGGCTGGGCTGCGCCCCGCAGGGGAAGCCGGGCAGCTCAGACCTGGCGGCCTGAGAACTGCCCAGACTCGTGGGGAGGTTAGGGGTCGGACGTCTTGTGCTACCGCGTGGAGCGGGATGTTGGCGGTCTTGGCGCCTATTCTCCCAGCAGCCCTTGTGAGCGAGTGCTCCAGCCCTCGGGGTGGGATGGGCTTCCGGAGCCCTCTCCACTGGACTGTGGGGGTGGGGCAGCCTGCCACGCAGAGCTTTGGTGCCCAGTCTGCAGGGCTGAGTGAGCAGGGCTGCTCAATGGGCACATGGGCTGGGGGGCCCTGTAGGCCAAGGAGGAGCGGCTGGCGGAGGAGAAGGCCAAGAAAAAGGCCGCGGCCAAGAAGATGGAGGAGGTCGAGGCTCGCAGGAAGCAGGAGGAGGAGGCTCGGAGGCTCAAATGGCTGCAGCAGGTGCGAGCGCAGGCGGGCAGGGGGCTGGGGCATCAGGGAAGAGGTGGGGCAGGGTGGGCTGTGAGCACTGTGGGCCCACCCCTCTGTTGGGTTGAACCCAGAACCAAAACAACAACAACAAAAGCCTCAGAAACCCAAAGAGGGTCGCCGTGTGTCGGAATCCCAGAAGGAGGTTCAACAAATGCTTCTGAGATGAGGACGGTGACAGTGACCCACCTCCCATTTTCTGTAGAGGTGGCAGTTTGAGGATCTGAAGCCTGGCTTTCCTGGGTTCTGATCTTAGCTCTGCCATTTATTAGCTGTGTGACCTTGGGCAGGTTCCTTGACCTCTCTGTGACTCCATTACTTCAAGTAACAGTGTTGTCAGAGTTGCCTAGTGCTGCTATAACAGAAATACCCTAAGTGGTGGCTCTGGGAGGCAGAAATGTGTTCTCTCACAGTTAAGAGGGTAGACTTTGAGTTCAGGGAAGCTGCTCTGGGGGGGGGGGTGGCTTTCTCTCTCAGCTCTGGAGGAAGGTCCTTGTCTGTCCAGCTTCTATTCCTTGGCTCCTTGGTGACCTTGTGGCATTGCACGTGTCATCCCTCATCCTTGCTTGTTTAATGTCTTTTATATCTCAGAAGATACTGGCTTAAGACACACCCCCACAGTGTTCCTGTCTCATTAACATAACAAGGAAAGCCCATTCCACTGTAGCCACAGGTCTGGGGTGGGATTTACAAGCCCTTGGCATCTACTCTGTAGGGTTGTTGGGAGGATTAAATGTGTGAATGTCTGTAACGTGCTTAGGGCGTTGCCTGGACGCGGTGCGTCCTGGGTCCACGTTCATTGTCATTGTCCATCAGTCCCTGTGTGCTCTGCATGATCCTCCGGGGGACTGTCAGCCTCACAACTGTTGGGAACACCGCTCTGTCATTGGCGGCTTATGTTAATTAATGGCTGAAAGGTGCGGAGCTTACTGTGTCAGGCACTGTTCTCAGTGTGTTACGGGTAGGAAGTCAGCACCTCT